GAGCGTCAGGGAGGAGGAGTCGTCACGTACGTAAAACACGGCCTGCTTGTGTCAGAAAAAACAGAACAGTTTGCCTGCAGCGTCGAGACTATCTGGCTCAATATAAGGGTACCAGGATCACATAGCCTTGAAGTTCTGACCGTCTATCGACCACCGAGGAGTGACTCCGAGGCTGACGCTCGTCTGTTAGAGGAGCTAGGACGATTTGCTCTCCGGCCTGACGTCCTAATCATGGGCGACTTCAATGCGCCGCTCATCGATTGGAGTTCCCTATACGCGCGCGGCCCAGAACTAGCTTTTGACCGACGCTTCTTGGACATGGCACTCAGGTCATTTCTCACACAGCACGTCCTATTTCCCACGAGGGTCCGTGAGGGGCAGCAGTCAAACTGCTTGGACCTGGTGCTCACGAAATCGATGGACAGCATAGATGAGGTACAATGTCTGCCTCCCTTAGGTCGAAGCGATCACGTTGTACTTCAATGGGACTATTCAATCTTTTCCGTGCCTGAACAGCCCACCAAAATTAGAAGAAATATTTGGTGTGGGGACTTCTATCAAATGAAGGCCGAAATCAACAATACGGACTGGGAATCAGCGTTTTCCGGAAATATAGAGGAGGATTGGAAATGGTTCAGTGAATTATTGCATGCTCTCCTGACAAACCACTGCCCGCTTTCACGGAAGGGGCTAAACAAACGACCCCGGTGGCTGACCCAGGCGTTAAAAAAAGGAAATAAATAAAAAAACGGAGATTGTGGCAGAAATCTCTTACTGATGGGACTCCTGTATCCATAAACGCATACAAAATACAGAGGAACTTAGTCAAGCGGCTGACCCTCAGGACACGGCAAAATTTTGAAAAAGACCTATTGAATCGTGCTATAAAAAAACCAAAATTATTCTACAGCTACATAAGAAGCAGCACACGAAACAGAGATCCAATCCCCCTCCTGAAGACTAGCGGAGACGTAGAGATTAGTGAGGATGGAGAAAAAGCTGAGCACTTTTCACAATTTTTCAAATCCATCTTTACTAGTGAAAGTCCATTTACTCCCCCCGACTACGACTTCGATGAGGGTCCAAAAATCGAGTCTGTGTCTTTTGATGAAGCGACGGTTCGCAAAGAGTTAATGACGCTAAATGAGTCGAAATCACCAGGTCCAGAGGACATACCGCCTAAGTTACTGAAGGAGCTCGCTGCCGAACTAGCCAAACCATTGTCCATGCTTTTCCAAGCCTCGTTCGAAGCCGGCGGCTTGCCCGCCGACTGGAAATCTGCGCAGATCACACCACTGCATAAAGGAGGCAGCAAGGCCTCTGCAAACAATTATAGGCCAATTAGTCTCACTTCCATCTGCTGCAAACTCATGGAGAAAATAATCAAGCGAGAGCTGATGCGCTTCCTAGAGCAGCATAATTTATTATCTGATGCGCAGCATGGGTTTCGTAGTGGCAGGTCTTGCGTGACTAACCTGCTCAACTGTTTGGAACGTTGGACTCGGTCAGTTGATGAAGGCAGTGCGCTGCATGTAGTCTATATCGACTTTAAAAAGGTATTTGATAGTGTCCCACATCAGCGACTCCTGCACAAACTGAGCCGAACAGGCGTTAGGGGTAACCTCTTAAAATGGATTCAAAGCTTCCTGTTAGACCGTTGTCAAACTGTCCATGTCGGTGGCCAGAAGTCGACGGAGGTTGCCGTTGAAAGCGGTGTTCCCCAAGGCTCAGTTCTTGGCCCTACTTTGTTCATCATTTACGTCAACGATTGCGTGAGTGAACTGGATTGTGGTGTCGCCATGTTTGCGGATGACATCAAGCTCTGGAGAGTCATTCGAACTGCAGATGACGAAGAGCATCTGCAGGCGAACCTAAATCGACTCCAACAGTGGTCAAAGGCCTGGCTTCTGCCGTTCAACGAGAAAAAGTGTAATATTCTACGAGTCGGCAGAGCTCGCTCTCCGAACCATATGGCCTACTGCCTAAATGGTATACCACTGCAAGAAGTGGACTCGCAGAAGGACTTGGGAGTATGGATTACGACCTCGCTCAAACCCTCGCTGCACTGCACAAAGATAGCCAAGTCTGCAATGTCAGTCCTCTACCTTGTCAAGCGGCTTTCTCTGCCTTTGACGAAGACTGCTTCGCTAAAGTCTTTCGAACTTTTGTGCGTCCGCAACTAGAATTTGCTATCCAAGCTTGGAGACCCTGGACCGCGAAGGACCTCAGCATCCTTGAAAGGGTTCAAAGGCGTGCAACGAAACTTGTGGCAGGACAGGGTTCACTACCATATGCAACGCGGTTAGCTAACCTTCATCTCTTTCCCTTGAGTTACAGGCAGTTACGGGGTGACCTGATACAAGTCTTCCGTATCATACGCGGTCAGGACTGCAGCCTCGTACCGGGTGACTTCTTCGAGTTAGCAACCACCACAAATCTACGAGGCCATCCATTAAAACTACGTGTGACAGGGGCCAGACTGGACACACGAAAGTTCTTCTTCTCCAACAGAGTGGTAGAAGCCTGGAATGCCCTGCCTGTGGATTTCGTTATGTCTGCTTCCGTCGAGGTTTTTAAGAGGAAGCTGGATTTGTGTAGCAGTGTGCACTAAATTACCACCCCGATCTCTGTAACCTCGACAAATTCCGCTATTATAATACTACTTGCTATATTTCAGTAACATTGTAAATTGAACTTATTATTGTACCAACCCATCGCCTACGCTTACTGACATGCACATATGCAAATTTTGTCCCCGGACATATTATTTATTTCTCTGCAGTCGAAACGACAGCTCTACAACTGCTCGTACCACTAAAATTCGAGACAGTTTGTTTGTCTGTACAGACCTGACGCTTTTCCGATTATTTGTTACTTTATGATACCTTTTCGAGTTTTTGAGATTTTGCAGTTGCTTGTAAACAAATAGGGAGTTCAAAGATGAAGACCTACATTTCCCTCAATAAACTGAACTGAACTCTCACTCCGAGAGATCGGTATTATGCCACGCGCAACTACTGCATGGTGATTCCGCCGTCTCTTTGTACTAAATATAAGCGCTCCCTCTTCTTTGCTTCCAAATATGCCTTCCTTTGGAATAATCTTCCGCCTGAAATTAGATTATCGCCTAAGTTACTGGTATTCGAGTCGAAATTGCGCAAGCATCTTACACCGGAAAACTAAAGGCACTATTAACGGCCTCATTACCTAACACTCAGCTTCTTGATTTCGAGAAAATTCCCCCTGGGATTTAGTTGTATATTAAGTGGTAACTCTTAATTATATCATTAAAAACCCCTGTTTTTAATTGGTTTCTAAATCCGCCGCTATCCCTCCTCCCCATAGCGACAATTTTCTCGGTTCTTGATGCCATCTCCCGCAGCTCGACCTACAGCTGTCTGTCGACGCTAATGGCTGCACCCTCAGTATTCGCCTTCCACTAGTGGTTTGGTCGTACCTTCCTTCCCCACTGTTGGCTGGGCTCGAAGCGTACTGTGGCCGATCTCATCTGGGTTCCTCTCATCTGGCCTCTTTGACGCGAATAGTCTCATGCGGCGTATCAATCCGGCCCTGACGATCTCAGTTGTGAATTCCGTATACAATGCCACACGTAGGCCAGTCCCGTCTGACTCGCATACGTACCCGTCAAGGCTGAGATTTATTGCTACCCTGACGATGACCGACAACATTCCGTTATATACCGCCACTTACAGGCCAGTCCTGCCCGCTTTTTTTGTCATTATTTTTATTGAGGGTTTTTTCTCCTGTAAAATTGAATTCAATTATTGTTAACTTTTTGTATGGAGTTTTTTACCCCTCAATCATCATGTTTCTCAATTGACTGCCAATCAGAAACTATGAATTGCATTTTGTAAAGATTCGGCCTGCCTTGTCTAAAACTCACATGTAAATTTATTTTAACTTTCTTTGATGGTACCCCGATGGGTTTTTAATAAGAATTATTTATTTATTTATTTTGGTTCCCCTGACACCGATGCGCCAGTCTCTGACCGACGTATGATGTACATTTGCAGTGGTTCTGATGGCAGGATAGGTCCAGGGCAGCGGAATCACTTA